AGAGAGAGAGAGAGAGAGAGAGAGAGAAGGTGGTAAGAGAGAAGGTGGGGTGTAGGAAAATGAAGGCAACACACAAGCTTAAATCTCACATGGTTTCCCTTATATGAAAAGCCCAAAATACAAATAAAGAACAAAATAAAGGACAAGTAATAGGAAACAGGTGAGATAGATCTTTTGCATATGAGAAGAGGACCAAGAGATGGAGGGCGTGAGGACAGATGGGAGAGGAAAAGGATGAAAAAACAGTTACGATGTGTTGTATGTACTTGTCCCAGCTGCCCACAGGAATGCGATCATTATGTGCTGTGACATACATTAATAAAAAAGAAAGAAGGTGAGGTGCCGGGAATAAAGCTAGAATCGACAGCCTGCCGAGGAAGACGCCAAAGGTGGCTCTGGCTGAGCCTGAACCTCATTCCTGCTTTGCTGAGGTCCAGTGCTTCTGTATTCCTCTGTCCCCCAAACACACACACACACACACACACATTTTATTCACACTGCAGAAGGCACAGCTATCCTGAGCCCTAAAATTAGTGGCCCTGATGAACGCAGCCATCACCTCTTGGGGAACTGTGAGCTCCCTCTTACAGCCCATCAGCCATGTCTCCTACCCCTTGAAAGCAGCACTGCTCCTTCCTGCGGGATCGGATCGGGAGGGACACCTGTTACCTGCCAGCCTGGAGGAGTGGGCCCGGCCCCTTCTCCTCCTGTTCCATGCTAGTTGTTCCTATCATATTTCTCCAGCACCCTATGGTTGCCAAATAGGACCTCAAGATGTTACCTCTCCAGAAAGGGAGTTTCTTCCAAGTCCATGGGGATCCTGGTCTCCCCAGATCAGGTTTTTTTTATTAGAAGCTCCTGAAAAGCAGCAGAGATCTGTGTTTGCTGATTCCATAACAACTCCAAAGCCGACAGGGAACAGGTGCTCAATAAATCACTAAAGGAGTGAAGGGTTTGAACTGCCCATCCTGAAGACTGGTTCCAGGCCGGGCACTCACAATTATTCTCTTCTGTCCTTCTCCCAGCACATCTATCTATGTGTGCTTCTTACAACCATTTAACAGGCAAAGAAACCGAGACCCAGCAGGTAGGGACCAGTCGCTGAGCTGGGACTTAGAAGGGCAAGACTCCCAGCCCAGGCTCCTCCCCATTTCCCAGCCAGCTCAACGCTAATAAGCACGCTTGCTTTCCTCTTAGGTACTACGCACCCGCAGCACCTACCTCAGCCCCCAAGGCCTCCTTGCGGCCATCCCGAGGACACCGACGCTCCCTCCAGCTGGACCTAGATAACCTGGAGGAGCTGCACAGGGCCCTGAGCCGGGCCGCACAGGCCGCCGAGAGCGTGCGCTCCACCAGCCAGCAGATGTGCCGGTCGCTGTCAGCCGACCTGCGCCAGGCCCATGGCCTGCAGGGCTCCTGCCTCTTCTGACTCCCTGGAAGCTCCTGGACAGAGGGGACATGGAACACAGCCCAGGAGTCGTCCGGAGGGGCTGACACCCGGAAGGAGCCCACAGCCCCTCCCAGGAGGGTCACCCACCTGCTCAGACTAGTATGCTCTTAACAGAGAGGGCCGTCAGCCTGTCTCCAAGAGGAGCAGCAGCCCAGGGGCTCCAGCCAGTCCAGGAAGTGCTGCGACCAAGGCCACTTCTGTCCAGACAGAGCCTCTGGAACGCTCCTCCCTGGCCCCTGCCCTTGTCCATTATTCTCACGGGTACCATTTACTTTATACACAGATGGACAGAATCTTTGTGCTGGAGAGTCAACCTGTCTTGCCTCCTCCATAGAAGGCGAGAGAATATGGGACAGTCCGGGGGCTCTGGACCCAACCTGTCCCTGCCTCTGACCAGCCACTCTGGGGCACGTGTCTCTGGGAAGGGCCTGGACAAGATCTTGCTCCTACTGACTGGTGGGCAGAGGGGCTTTGGGACCAAGTGGGACACCATAGGATGCGGTGACATGTGCCCTGAACCTCCATGATTACCTCCATGGGCATTTGCAAGGCTCTGCTGGGATGCAGGCCACCCAGAGAGGCCCCAGGAAGCCGTGCACCCCCAGCTCCCTCAGTACCTTGCCTCGAGGCCTGAGCTCTTCCCCCCGCCTCTGTGGCACTGGACTGGTGACCAGTTACCTGGCAAGCCCCAGTCCTTGCTCCCCAACCCCATAGCAGCACAAACCTCAGCATCTCTGCAATGTGTGTGCATTGCAGGCGTTTGTATATTTGAGGCCTTTAAAATCTATTTTCGTTACAAGAACAAAGAAAGAATGATCTTAAAAAACAAAGCGGTTCCCAAAGCCACCTGCATGTGTGTTGTGTGTGGCACCCTTGGAGTGTCTGTTTCAGGCTGCTGGGTGGGGAAGACCTGAGCCCCAGGCGAGCCTTCCCCACAGACCTGCTGCTCCGATGGCCTCAGTTTCCCCACCCTCTCTCCAGGGGAGGTCAGGGCAGGCTTTTGTGATGAGGCCAGGGAAGTTGTACACTCAGTCCGCCACGGTGAGGAGAGACCAGCCATGAGGAGGCTGAGGCCCCTCTGGGTTGGACCCCAGCTCTGTTTGGAGCCCTAAGTGCAAAGTAAGGGTGCAGGGCTCCACCCCAAGGGCTCCAAACACGTTCGCAAGGGAGATGTCAGTTGGTTTCTGGAGCGGCCTCATCCCCAAGTGTCATTGTTGCCTGGGTCACTCAAGTGGGCACCTTGAGGATAGCTTCGTGGAGACCCCACTGGGCTAGGCCCAAGTCCCCCATTCCCCATTGCATGCCCAGCCCTCCCCAGCCAGGCCAAGCCAGGCCAGCAGCCTCTTCCAGGAGGCCTCCACCGGGGCCTTCCTGCCTCCGCCTGATTCCTCTCAAGCTGCCTGCCCAGGTGGCTGGTGAGACGTCTGCAGTGAGGGTTCTCCTCACCCCTCCCCCACTCAGGTTCCTGCCTCAGCTTCCCCAGATGTGTCCACTCAGGTGTTTGGCCTGCAGCAAGAGCAGCGGGCCATCTCCCAGCCCTTCTAGATGGCTCAGAGCCCCTTCACGGGCATTGTCCTCAGCAGACCTGTTCCTACTCCCCTGGTCCTGCCAGTCCTGGGCCTCTGCACCCAGCCTGGGCCCCACCCAGGAACAAATGAATGAGACAGTGGAAGAATGACTGGCAACCTGACTGCCCCCAGCAGGACCTTTATTGATGCAGAGATAAAGCAGAGGCACAGGGGCAAGAGGGGTGAGATGGCCCCAGCCCCTGAGGTGCCGCCCAGCACTGTCCTCCTAGGGCTCCGCCTCTCCCTTTGTCTTCTGTTGCTGCTTCAGCTGACACTTGTTCTAGGACACAGCAGGAGAAGGCAGGGTTGGGACAAGGTAGGGCCTGGAATCTCAGGTGCCTGGCTGGTGCGCCTGGGCCCAGCTGTTGTCTCTCTCTGAGCCTCAGCTTCTTCACCCCCTGAACCCCCAGGGGCTCAGACCCCAGACAGAGCAGGTCTTGCCTTCCTGTTGCCCCTGCTGCATCCTTGGAGAGCACCCCTGAGCCAGCTGGGCACCTGTCCAAGGTCCCCCAGGTGGGCAAGGGCTCTGGAGCAGAAGGCCAGGGCACGGGCTGTGTTCCTGAGCCCTTAAGTGGGCCCGGGTTCAGCCCAGTGTGGAGAGGTGAAGACTCATTGCAACTGTTACTAATGGCATGTCTATGAAAGCAAGTGTCACCGCTCGCCAGCTCTGAGTCAGCGGATACGGTTTGTAGGGAGGGAGGTGTGGAGAAAAGCATTAGGGAGACCATTCTACAGGTCACTGTCCTATGTGACAACAATCAGGACTGAGGGCTTGGATTTGCTGTGGTTTCGGGGACATCACAAGCCTTTCACTGCCAAAGCCCAGGTAGTAAAAATGGTTGGGAGGCAATCACGAGGGCTCCCCCCCCAGGTGGGTCTCTCCCCAGATCCGCCGCCTGCCCGAGGGTCTGCCCTGGTTCCCCAGGGGTTCTCCCTCCTGGGTCCTCACATCGCATCGGTTATCACCTCCCACCCCAGTCTCTGTGGGTCTCCACTGACCCTGCAGGAAAGCCTGTCCTTAAGGCATACACCCGCCTCACTGCACTGCCTGGGTGGCAGCTCCCCCTCCCTGGGCCTCTGGGCTTGGCGCCGGTGCTGGCTCCGGTGGCCCCTGGGTTTACCTTTTTCCAGTCCACATACAGGATCTCCGATGTGTGCAGGCCCACACACTGGATGGCCTGGTGGAACCCCTCCAGTTGCTCAGGGGTGGCTTCTGGCGTGTCAGCTGCACAGGGGTGGAGAAAAAGGGTGAGGGTGCTGCGGAGTAAGGGCCAGGCGGGCTGGGCTGGGCGGGCAGCACCTACTGTAGAAGGAGAGCCCGCGCTTGTGCTCGTCATCCAGGGAGAAGCCCAGCATGAAGCTCCGGGGGTCCCGCAGGAGCAGCAGGTGGGCTACTTGCTCCTTCTCCTTCACTGCGGGAGAAAAGGCACCCGTGACCAATGTGAGCACACTGGGGGCCCATCCCCCAGGTCCCAGTCCTCCCCACCACGGGGCTACACTCACTGCCCTGCACTGAGCACTGTAGGGACACAGGATGGTGGGAGCCTCAGATGACTGCTGTCCCATTTCACAGATGAGAGAGACAAGGCCTGCAGAGGCACCTCAGGGGTGCTATGTGGTGCCAGTCAGTCCTACCCATGTTTGTGTGCAGCTTCGGTGACAGTGGGGCCATGGATGAAGTCTCCACCTGCCAACACATGGGCTCCCACCCTTAGGTTCCAGGGGATTTTAAAGGGTGGCTGAGAGTGGCAGAGCTGGGGCCAGATGTGCTCTGAATTCTAGTTGTAACAACAAGCTGTGTGACCTCAGGAAAACCACTCAGTGTCTCTGTTCTGTTTCCTCATCTGATCCTTCCAATGCCTCCTAGAGGTGTTTGCACACAGTAGGTAGGTTGGATGGAGAGCGCTTCAGACAGTGCCTGGCACACTGTAAAGGCTCAGAAATGTTGACCCCAGAATCAGAGAGGTGTGGGGAACAGGTCTGCCCATGTGCTCTGTGCCCGAAGCCTCCAACGCCCCAGTCCCAGCCCCTTGCCGGCCGTCCTGCCAGAGGGCCGGGCCTCACCTATTTTGGACAAGGTTCCGTTCGCCCTCTGCACCTTCAGGAAGGTGGAGTTCTGGATGCAGCGATCCCCACTAGAGCCAGACAGGAGGAGGCCAGAGGGTGAGAGGCCCAGGAAGACAGGGAAGAAGTGACAACCACTCAGCTGGGCAGTGGTGGAAGTAGGGTGAGCCCCAGGTTCCCCTCCTCACCCTCCTTGAACCCCAAGGGTGAGAAGGGCACAGACTCTCAGGGGAACTCACGTGGTCATGTGCTCCCGGACCATCACTCTGTCTTCCCTGGGGTTCGTGTGAAAGTAGAAGAATGCTGCCTGCACCTCTTGAGCTGACTGTTTATACTCTGGGTTTCGAAAGGCGGAGGCAACGTAAAACCACCTGCGATTGAGCTGTGCAGTGGAGATGTGGGCGCTCAGAGAGGAGAAACCTCTGTGATCCCTCCTTCCCTCCCTCCCTCTCAGGCAGCAGGCAGACCCAGTCCCAGGTCTGGGGCACAGGCCAGAGCTGCGATGGCCCCCAGGGGTGTCCCTTCATGCCCACCATGGAAGGGTCCCCTGTGAGGGTCTCTGTTGTGCTTCTGAGTTTGAAGGCAGAGGGAGGCCACCAGAGTCCCAGGGAGGTCAGACTCTCAGCCTGTCCCAAGAAGAGAAAGGGCAGAACCAGAGCAGGGGGGCCCACCCGGCGGGAGGGTAGAAGCTCAGAGAGGGAGGTGAGGCCCCAGCACTCGGGCAGTGGCCGCCCCAGAACTCACCCAGTCCAGGGTGGCGCTGGTGATGGGCATGGCCGTGACGTTGGCGCAGGCTGGGTTCTGTGGGTTCAGCAGTGGTAGGAGGCACAGGGCTTCCAGGGCCCAGTGCAGCGCCATGCCCAGAGCAGGAGGCGCCCAGAGCCAGGACAGTAGGCGGCTGCGGGCGCAGTGATCTTTATAGGGAGGTGTGGGTGGGGCCGTGGAGCCTGGCTTGGGTGTGCTTAGGGCTGTGACACACCCCGGCCCGTGCTTGGGAAATGCCTTGCGCAAATCCTTCCCCAAAGCCAGCCCGCAGCCCAGGTCTGCCCCGAGTGCCTGACCTGGAATTCACAGAGGCTGAGCTCGCTCATTGCAGACCAAGGTGGGTGTGGGGTTGGCATGCTCTGAGGTCACCTGTGGAGTCCACAGCCATCAACCCGCATCCCATCCCACTGCTGTCCCAGGGAGCTGCCAGGCTGGAGGGAACCCAGCCAGAGGTCAGAGGCACAAGGTACCTTAGGGAGTTCCCAGAAAGTGTGGCTGGGCTGAGGAGCATTTAAGGGTCAAGGTGGGGACTGGGGGCAAATGTGAATTGGATTCCAGCTGTGTGTTCTCACAACTGTGATGCAACAACTTTCACTGGGCCCTGCCCAGCCCTGGAGGCCCAGACATTTCCACAAAGGGGCAGCTCAGTCCAGTGCCTATTTCAGTGAATGCCTTCCTGGAACATTCTCCCAGGATGGGAAACCGGAGTCCATCGTGTCCCTAACCCTGCCCTGGACCAGGGAGCAGCCTCCTCCCCTCACCCATCGATCCTCAGCCCCAGGAGAGTGACCAGCACTTGGGGTTGCAGGGGCAGAACGGTTTCATCACCCTTTTCCATTTTTACCGCATGGGGCCGAGGTTTTATCTATAGGAACAAGCACTGCCAGCAGATGTTATTTTGGGGTGCATACACCTGCGCATTCTTGTTGATTTCATGTATGCTCAGTAATTGTTCATGTTTCAAGGTAGTCTGTAGTCGGGATTTAATTTTTATTGATTTAGTTTTTTTGGTACATGTTTACATACCTAGCAATTGCATGGATCATGGGGAGCTGGTCCATGCCCGCAACAAATCTTCATTCTTGTTATGATCTGCAGTTAGAGTTTTAATGCTGCATAGATTTTCGTTCCCTTATGATGTTTTACTTTAGTCATGCCCATTATACCAATAGCTTTTTTTTAAGTAGAGAAAATAATCTGTATTTTTATTTATTTATTTATTTTTATTTAAAAGAGTAAAAGAAGGATAACATAGTAATAGGGGGATTTACCGAATTACAGACAAAGTGGTAGGACAACATCAATGGTTGTTATTTTACCTATTGGTATCTTCAAGATAGCTTCTCAGGAAAACAAATAGCCAAATAATAGTGAGTTACACACAAAAATGGCAGGAAATTATCAGTGGTGGTTGTACTATACTTTGGTTTCTTCAAAGTGGTTTCTAGGGAAAACAGAGCTATACATGAGTGATCAATTAAATAATCATTGACTATTCTCAATGGCTGTTGTTGAAAACACATAGTAATAAACATACATCCATTTATGAAATAGCATAGGAACAACAGATATTATTACAGAGTTATAGGCAGATTGGTAGGAAATTATCACTGGCTACTGTAATACATGTTGGTATTTTCAAAGTGGTTTCTCAGGAAAACAAAGATATGCAAGAAAGATCTAACAAGTAGTTACAACCTAAGGGTTGTGAAACATAGCAGATTACCTCCTCATCAGTGACTCCTTTCACTGAAGTGTGATGGCTGGAAGGAAGGCCAGGATTGAAAAGAAGGACCGAGAGACTAGCACCAGTGTCCAGCAATAGGCTGTTTACTTTTTCCTCTATAGTCATGATTACATGGGGCTCCTCCTTGAAGATAACGGTCTGGCCAGAGGGAGAAGGCAGAGTATGCCCTGGGCCCCTTCATTCCTGTTGGACCAGCTCGTAAGAGGGGTCTGAGCTCTGAGGCCTTCACTTCAGAGGGCAGTCCAACCTCTAGTGGTCACCTTTACAGTCAGGGCATGGCCCAGGGGGCTTCTTAGGGCAGTCCCTCTTGAGGTGTCCTGGCTTTTGACAACAGTAACAGATGAATGTACTTGATGAGTTCTTCCTGGGGCCCCAAGAATCAGACTTAGGGTCTGTTTCTCTTAGTGCTGCAACAAAGGCAGCTGTTTTTTCTCGGTCTCTTTGTTTTCTCTCCTTGGCCTCCTCCTCCTCATGATTATAAAAAACTAAGGAAGCAATTCTTAGTAACATCTCAAGTGAGCTATCTGGGGCAAAAGCCATTTTTTGTAGCTTTTTTTCTACTATTTGGGGCTGACAGTAATAAACATCTTTGAGAATAGTTTGTCCCTCTACTGACCTGGGATCCAAGGAAGTATGCTTTATCAATGCCTCTTGTCTAAGAAAGCAGAGAGGTGTTCTCTCCATCCTCCAAGTACATTGGGATCCCGCAACCACTTAGTGCCCTCTCCCCAACCGTCAACACAGGTGGCAGGAACATGTGGATGAAGTCCTCGGCCTGCTAGTCAGTCTCAGCACCATCAGGTGCAAAGTGTCCCAGGCAGGTAATCTAGATACGTACCTCCTCCATGAAGGCGCTTCTTCAAAATCTGAATATTGGGCACCTATGTAATCCATGAAGTCTCGGCGCAGACCTCTCCGGAGCTCCACTCGCTCCTCCATCGCAGCCTGTACAGTTAGGGGAAGAATGGCCTCCAGGGGGTTTCCCCAGGTATTGCGCAAGATCCTCCTGGTTTCCAGCTCCCAAAAGGCTACCGCTTCTGCAGTCAGCTCAACCTCTGAGTCGTCGGGCGTTGGAACTCTCGCGTTCTCTGAGTCGTTGTTCATCAGCTGCTCCTCCGCTGACTCCGGACCTTTCTGGCTTTCAAGGGTAGGGTCAAGAGTGACCTGCCCTGTGGCATATTTTCCAAGAGGTTTCTCCATCTCGGGGTAGTTCATGCATATCTCCGGGCAGGCTTATTGTGTCTGTGCTTCTCTGTGGTATGGCGTTTCTTGACTGCACGTCTCCACGCCGCTTCCCAGGCACCGGCAGCCTGCCTTTCCCGGCGGCTGCACGGCCTCTCAAAGCAGGCGCCTGCGGCCTGCATGCCTCCCTGGGTGCCTGCGCTGCGGGGTGTGCTGGACCGTGAAAGGCCTGCACTCCCCAGCCACGCGAGTTCCTGGAGGGGGTGCCTGCAGCCTGCCTGCCTCCCACCAATAGCTTTTTGTTTTATTTTGTTTTTTGTTTCTGAGACAGGTCTCACTACATATTTCAAGCTGACTTTGCATTTACCACATAGGCCAGGCTGGTCTCTAACTCGTGGTGATCCTCCCGCCTCAGCCTCCTGAATCTAGGATTACAGGCTTGTGCCAGTAAGCCCAGCTCTACATCTACAGCACTTAGTAGTTAATTCTTCCTCTCATGGTCAGCGTCAGAGTTACCAGAATGACTTTTAAAAATTACATACTAGCTTGTCTACGAGGAGCATTATGCCAAGGAGCCCTAAAGCAGAAACGGTCCACAAACCGATCAACAAGAAAATGGAGAAACAAACTGTGGCGTCTTCATAAAAGGTGTGACTTAGCTGGGAGGAGAGCCGAATCACCAGCGGAAGCACCCGCACGGAGCAGGCGCCGGAGCGCACAGAGAAATAGGCAGACGCACCAGAGCAGGTATGGGTGATTCCGTTCATGTGAAATTCTAGAAGAACTCAAAGTGTCGGTGACAGCGGCAGCCAGATCTCTGGGTGCCGGCGTAAAAACTTCACTGCGGAGAGGCCGAGAGACCTTCCTGAAGGGAAACGTGGTGTTCAGGCTGTCACCGTGGAGCGGTCACACAGGTGTACCTTTGTGAGAACCCATGGAACTAGAGCCCTAAAACACATTTATCTCACTTTACTTCTAAGTCTGTAAAATTGATTTTTAAATGTTCTCTTTTCAAATGAGAAGAGACAAACCCAAAACACTAAGCATCTTGAATTCTGTCCCAGCTTGGGAATGGGCACGTGAACCTTTCTTCATGTCCTGGTCCAAACTAGATATATCTCTCTCTCTCTCTGTCCTTTCCTCTGCCCTCTCCTGCCTTCTCCTCCTCCTGCCTCCCTTCCCTCCTCCTTCCTTTGCGTTCCCAACACCTTGGGAACATGGTGTTGGTGAGAAGGGCACAGAGCAGGTTCGAGTACTCAGACCCTCACACTGGTGACCAGGTGCTGCCTACACTGTGATCGGGTGGGTGGGAGCATCCACAACAGACTTTGCAGAGGCAGCAGGAGCCCACCTCCCATCCCAGAAGGCTGGCCCAGTCCTTTGTTGGCCACAGAAGTGCTGCAGAGATGTGGGAAAGTTTAAGCATGTGGGTCATGTTGCTCTCAGGAGGATCTCTCTGCAGTGGAAATAAAAAAAGGGGTGAGGTCAGGTGGAGACCTGGAAGGCCAGGGGTGGCTGCCACAGGGGCCGTGGGGGTGAAATGGTACTGAGGACATGGTCAAGGTAGTGTTTATTTCAAGGAGAAGGTGGTGTTGTGTGGGGACGGCACCACTGTTGGACATGGACGATAGAGGCTCCTGCTAGGAACACATGAATTCAGAGACACCCCCCAGCACACACACACACGGAGTTTATTAAATAATGTGGAGAAGGACATTGTATAGTTTACCTTTCAATGTATTACCTACATGGGACTTTGAGCCTGACCAAGCCAAAGATTGTTTGATTCTGGAGGAAGTCAAGCAAAAGCATCAGTGTAAAAGGAAATGAAGGCAGGACGTTAGTCCACGTGGATAGCTGCTGGGACAGCACTAGATACTTTGCTGAGATCTGCCTGAAGGAATGACGACATGATGACTAACAAAGTCAAAGTCCAGTTCCTGTGATAATTAACTGTGCTGTCCTCGCCAATCCCGTTAATGGTTCCTCCCCTTTCCCCTGCTGCTGCTTTTTGTGTGAATCCCAACCAAAGGCTAACGAAAATTGTAATGGAGGCTTCAGGTGTAGAAGCTGCAGCCCCCTGATCCTATCACTTTGTCTCTCTTGTTTTTCTTTTCATCCACTGCACCTCGTTCTTTGGACCTGTCACCCCGCACAGAAACAGACCATATACCGACAAAATAACACTTAAGCTCCCTTGTCCCTTGGGATCAAGTG